GAGGAAACCCACGCATGCACGGGGAGAACACGCAACTCCACGCTGAAAGGCCTCAGCCGAGTTTCGAACCTGCAACCTTCGTGCTGCGAGGCAACTGTGCTAACAACTGCGCCACCATGCAGCCCAATAAGGCGTCGCTCAGAGACTTAGACCCGCTCCCATGTATTTTAGACCCGATTTTTATGGTTATATGTTATGAAACCTCCAAGATTTTTCAACTGGGCATCTTTTAATTCATTTACAACAACATTTCAATGGATGTTTCCAGAGATTAGTGGTAAAAACTACACATTGTCACTTTAAACCTGTTCAGTATTTTTTATTGTTTTATTTCAGATATATTTGGGCTTTTTTAAAGTTATTTGTACCTACGGTAGCGTTCTGTTTTACATCTGGGATGTCTCGGTCTTAGCCTGGTCTGCCAGACTCCTCCTCTAACCCCTCCCCGTGAGAACTCTAACCGAGCCAATCAGCGCTGAGTAGCGTACGTCACACACCATAACGCCGGGTTTGTTGGACATGGCGACTGAAGCGGAGTTCGCTGCGGCTCTTTCCTCTGGCCTAAATAACTTGGACACCACAAGTAGAAGCGCTAAAAGCCTTTCTTCTAAACAAAGACGCTGGCGCTGTCGCCAGACTCCATTTTTTACTACAGCTAAAAAACTACAGCGTCGCGGACGTCACACACGGCGATGCTCAGTTTCTCATAAACAACAAAGACAGCTGCGGAGTTCGCTGTGGCTCTTTTCTGTTCTCTGTTCAAAATGTCTCAGATGGCTTTAAAACCACAAGTAGAAGCGCTAAAAGCATTTCTTCTAAAAAAATATTGATGTTTGCGCCGTTGCCAGACGCTATTTTTTTTACTACAGCTAGAAAACTACCGCGTCATGTGGTACAGTCGGGATTTCCATCTTTTTTCTGATTGGTTACTTTTGAGCTGCCTAGTCCCGCCCCTCAAGTGCCGCTCTGCCTGTGAGTCACCAGACTCTCTCTCTGTGTGCAGAGTTAGGCCGGGGACACACCGGCCGCGAAAGCGCCGCGAAGCGCCGCGAAAATGGGACCGCCTTCATTCGGCGCCCTTGTTAAGCTATTCTATAGACCACATGGGCCGCTGAAGCGCCGCGAATCGCCTCGCGCCGGCGCGCGCCGGCGCTCCAGCCCGCGCCGTGCAGCGATCATTTCGGCGTTGGCTCTATTTTTTTCGCGAGCCGCGGGTGAATCGCGTCAATTCTGGCAGGAAGTCAAACGTAGACATAAGAGGCAGGCCGGTAAAGTTAACAAAATAAAGCATTTCAAAATAAAATTCCGCAATAGTCAAATGTGTTCGTAATCAGACACTGCAGAAAAACCACACGAACACGCACACACACACACACACACACACATCGAACTTGTGTGCGTGTGTGACCACGTGAAGGGGGGAGTGGTTTTGGGTGTCTTTTCACCGGAGCAAACAGGACAGAGAGGCAGAAAGTCTGAGGCAAGCAGTTAGGATGGATGACTTTAAATTAATTATGGAAGTTGAGAAACACAAGGAGCTGTACGACCCCCGAAAAACATGCTTGTTTACGTACCCATGTCGGAAGAAACTGCTAGGATACAGCTGCAGAATTGGAGCGGGTTCCAAGAGATTCAACTGGCAGAAACAACTCATACCATAGGTTCACACACACGCGCGCGCGCGCGCACGCGCACAAACACTCAAACGTAGGAAAAGAGCTGAGAAAAGGCAGAGAGGAAATGGAGGACACCAAGTGTTTAAAAGAAAAACTACAGCTGAGCCGAGGCGCGCCTCGACTGGGGCGCGTCTGATCTGAACTGAGGAGCGGCGAGCAGCGGCCGAATTTCGTGAGCGATTCGCTTCTCGGCGCTTCGCGGCGCTTCCGCGGCCGGTGTGTCCCCGGCGTCAAACAGAGGACGAGTCTGGCAGGCCAGGCTACCTCGCTCTGCCTCTGGAGGAGCTGTCCATGGTCTCTACAGTGGAACGCAGTGGGAGGAGAGGTGTTTTTAAGATGGACGCCATCTTCACCACCGTCCTCCTTTCAGACATCTCAACTGAATCCAGTGGGCAGCCCAGAACTGAGATAGCTTTGTTGATCTCCTTCTGTCTCCTTTCCTCATTCATAAATGAGATCCTGGGGTCATTTAAACTTTACCACTCGAGGCAGGAGCTCACCCTCGACCCACAGTTGGCAGTCCACCCTTTTCTGGTCGAGAACTTAATTTGAAAAGTGACAAACTGACACCAAACACACATTTACAGGAAACATCATGTGCCCCCTTGAATAGAATTTAGCCCTGCGATTATTCTAGTGAGGTTGTAGCTAGGCCCAGTTATTTGTGACACAGTTTCAGCGTTCAGACGCTTCAGCCCCTGCTGGCGGTAGGACTGGAGTCTCTTTAGCCAGAGTGAGTTATTTTCAGAGCTGCGCAGCTGTCCGGTCCAAACAGTTACAGCGTTCCATATATAATGCTTCCCTAATGCCCTGTCTGTGCCCCATTTTTACCCACTTTGTAAAAGGAGCATGGCAAAAAATCTAATTTTGTCACTTAAGTTGCATGTTTCCTTCGGCCATTTGTGCAAACTTTTTTGTTGCTGCTTCCCCAACCGAAAAAAAGGAAGGCAATATTTTTAATTGGGCAAACAAATGGTTTACTGACTCTTCTGGGCTTTGCTGGCATTTATCTGTTCATGATTTGGCCCATTTTTTTTTTCTATGTATATTTAAATTGTTGTCAGTTCCTGTTAACGTTGGCATAGATCTAGATGAGAGCATTAAGGGGATTAGATGAAGAACTTTAACGATGCGTCTCTGGAAACTCTTACCAGCTGAATGCTGCATCCTTTACACTTCCAGTTCACACCAGAGCTGTTACAGGCAGGTTCCCTTGCAGAAATCCACGATGAGGTTTTAGAAAAGCCCACGTTAATACGGGCCGAAGCACAGCCGTGACTCATGGTTGCAGGCTGCAGCGCTACGTGCGTGAACCTGTCATCCGGCCCACTCAAACTCACACCGTCTTCTGCGTTTAAACTGAAACTGGGAGTTTGGTTATTATTTATTACCTTCACTGGATCAAGTTAGATCTTTTCCAGCCTCACAGTACAACCAAATTTCTGTTCAGAGTGGGATTTAAACTCAGCTGTTCTGTTTGTCCCTAAAACGCCACTTGAATCGAACCCTCTTGGTCGTTATCTCACTGGTGCTTCTCTAAGATGTCATTTTGATGAAGTGCTGTAATGAAACGGCATGCCTATCCTCTTGCTCGTGTAAGGCTTTTTTGTCTTCATCTTGTTGTAACACCTTTTTTTATTGCTTTGCTTTGCTTTAAGACAATACCTCTTAACAAAGCCGCCTTAGATGCCTGATAAATGTTCTCTACTGCTCTTGGTGCCGTTATGCATCTGCACACGTGTTCATGTGTGTGGTACCCAGGCATGTAACGTGACGCTGACTCGGACTCGATGTGTCAGCAGCTGCTGCCTGTTACTGAAGGGAGACAGCGGGTTGGGCGATTAGTATCATTTTTCCCACCGCCAATCGTCAGTGCAAAAAAAGACGATGGACGATTTATTCGTGCATGTGACGTCACGTTGCACGGACTGATTTGCGAACACCGAAGCCCAACACATAAATACTTTTAGACAAGGGCAGCACATATGTTTGCCGGAAGAGAAATTGATATTTTTCTTTTTGTTTAAGTTAGTATTTGTAGTTTGGTGGAGTGACGTATAAACGGCCCGTATTAAACACGGTTAAAATGTTAAAAAGAAGCCTCGTCTTTGTTTCCCTGTGGTGCCCACTGTTGTGGTATTTTATTTAAGCTAAATGTTTCGTTCAGAACAAAAAATTCTGGGGTTCTTTCTTTTATACGTGGGAGATGAATCCGTGTGCCGCGTTTGGACGCACTTCGAGGAGGCAGTTCGCTGCCAGAGGTCACGTGATCCATTTATCCCCGTCACTTTAATTTTTTTAATTATGAACAATCATTCATTAATATTTAGTCCAACCAAGCTCACCAGAATGCCCCAGTAACATGAACAATGCAAATAAACGATTTCACTTAAATTAGAACCATTTCACCTGCTGCGGCGCGAACGCACGTTCCTCCTGCGCCGCGTAAACCTGAGCTGGTCACCTGCTGCTGGTGTGTGATCACATGTCTGTAGGGAGCTTGCTGGAGAGGTTATGAGCTCCTAGACTTTTGCCTCAGACAGACTCATGACTGTTTAAATAAGGTTCTGGATGGATCCGTGCTCTGCTGACACACTCGAAGCAGGTGCTGAATAACGACGAGCGCCACGTCAGCCAGAGTTTTAAACCAGGAAACATTTCTCCAAATGAAATAACCAGAAGTCTTCCAGACTCTGAAAGATTGAAGGGTTTCCACTTTCCACTCAACGCCGCCGCGCCGTAGTGCACGATGTCGAGTGCGTCACAGACGCTCTCCAAACCCCTCCTCAGCGCGCCGCTTGCGCGTGCACTGTCAGCAGCCAGAGGAGGTGAGAAAAGGCTCAGATGCGCTGATGGAGATCTTTTCTTGAATGTTACCTCTGCGATGTTCTCTGTGCGTAGCGTGTAAAATATTCGTCAATAACAAACAAACAAAGAAATAAACAAATCGCCTCCTGTTAAAAACAACCGTAATGGCTCAGCCCATCGCCATGGTCGATTCCTTCGTCCCATCGCCCCACCTTAGTGCTCAGGGTGAGGGATGGATGGTGTGTGAGAGTGTGAGGAGGTGAGATTAAAATAGAATAGTACAGATGGGGCTTGCTATTTTCCAGCATCCAAAGCAAAATCATCTGACATCCTATTTCGGTCTCTCTCCACAGATGTAGATGTTTTCAGATGTTGTCTTTGTAGTCGTGTCTTTGTTGATGGCTAGCTGCTTAGGCGCAGAGACAACTGAAGCACTGTCTCTGTGATCTCATTACTGTAAACCTTTTAGGGCTTACAAATCTGACCCGACATTCCCCGTTTGTTTTGCGTTTTCAGGCCCAGATCGCCTTCCTCCAGGGGGAGCGAAAAGGCCAGGAGAACCTAAAGAAAGACCTCGTCAGGAGGATTAAAATGCTGGAGTATGCACTGAAGCAGGAGAGGTGAGTACCTTCCTGTCTACCCATGTTTCAGCCCACCCACCACACTCCATTTTTCAGCCTCCACAAGATTTGTGTTCCTAAAATAAGTGGCCGCCAACAAAGAAACCTGGAGAAGGGTTGCACGTTGGTGGTTTTGCACTATTCATCATCAGCCTGACTGCAGCTCTCTACAATATAACCACATTTTCTTCATAATATGCAGGAAATCAAAGGTTTAGTTTCAGTGTGACGTCTTAGCTGGTGTGATCTGAAACAGCCAGAGGGATTCCCTCTGAAACAGTTGGTATTATCTCTCTGGACACTGAGCATGTGTTGGCATGAAGGCTGTCTTATCCTGACACCTCTACTAAGGAACAGTCGAGGAATCTCATCTCAGCGGAAGACGAGGCCACTGTCTGAATTATATTACTCCTATTCTCATCATCCTTTTGCAGTCCCACACAGAGAGGTCCCTGTGAGAACAGTGTGAAAACACTTTGCACGTCCCTTCCTCTGTGACACATCGCTGCTCCCTGAAACTGAGATTAGTCGCTGATTTCCACGTGTCTCCTTTAGCGGGACCCGTATCCATCATAGCTAAGGTTGTCACGGTAACCAGTGTAGCGGTAAACCCCGGTAAAAAAAGTTGACAATAATAATAACGTCTTGTTTTTTTAAAACTATATTATCTTGGTGGGTTTACCGTGGCTGCGGTGTAGGCGCGGTGACCCTTACCAGCCACCGTATCGTCTGCTGAAGTTGCCGGCGGTACATGCGCACTTTGTTGTTTACAACCAAAACTTTCTTGGAGCTAAAGCTGAAATAATGGCCAAAGGAGGAGACGGCAGCACTCAGGACATTTATTATCCCTCAAAGAAGACAAAAGTGGGAAGTACGGGCATCTTTTGGATGTTTGAAGAATGCCGAGGGACAGCTGATAGAAGACGGCTATCCTGTTTGCAGCACGAGCAGAAAAAGTGTCTGAAAGGCAGCAACGCTTCAAATCTCATGACACATCTGCGTGACCATCACCCACAACTCTACAGTCAACGCAAGGCAAGCTAACGTTAGCGCTTTAGCTAAAATGCGTGATCCAAGGATTTGGGTTGAGGGAGAACGCAACGAGTCGCTATATAAAGCAGCCGCAGCGCCGCTACCTGCATATAAACCGTGTCGCGGACACCGCCATGTTGAAATGACGCTATGCATTACGGGGCTCCCAGGGGCAGATAAGAGTTGGTCTCTCTCCGAGAATAATTATGAATTTAACAACGATTACTGCCTGATGACATTTTCCCACATCTGCAAAGCTCACTGGAAGGACACAAACCGAGGACAATATTTTCCTGATATAGGGTTTATTACTCAAGTAAGGGTAAAAAAGTATCTGATTAGAAGGCTACTTGAGTACTGAGTATCATCTGGTCTAATATTTTTAAATGATGACATCAAACAGACAAAAAATAAGAAGTTATGGGCAAATATTGGTATTTTAAAGACTAAAGGGGGAAAATGTAAACAAATAAACAACATAATTACAAAATAACACATTTTAGGCAAAATTTAGACACAAACTGAGGACAATATTTCCTGACATACAGGGTTTATTTAGTTGTGTGAAAATGTAGCACGTTTAAAAAAATACCGCGATAATACCGAAAACCGTGATCATTTTGGTCACAATTACAGTGAGATTAGATATTTTCACCGTGACAACCCTAATCATAGCATAGATGGAGTCAGAGATTTATTTAGTTTTTGCTGTTAACACAAGCTACTTTTTGAAAATACACAATTCAAAGGTTCATCCCTCTTTCTTTAGGCGTCCCCCCTAAGCTGCACCTCCAGAGTACACAAAAGCACAAGACTTGTTCCTGAGGGTTCAGGCTTACTTTTTCAATCCTTTGGTGGCATCTTTTGTTCCATAATCCCCAATGAAACACACCTCCGTAACCATATAACAGTTGAGTATGCTAGCTGAAAAACAACTTTAAAAAGAACTAAAAGTTGGAATTAGAAGTTCAACACAGCAAGAACACACCAAAGATGAAAAACAAGGCGGTTTTTAAGCTATCTAGCTTTTGACAGGAAAGTTTCCTTTAGTTTTAGTCATAATCTTTACTCAATTTAGTCATCCAGTTTGTTTTCCTCTTATTTTAGTCGACTAACATTGATGTATTTTTCTTTTGATGCAATAATTTTCAACTAGTGTAAAGGAAATGCCAACTACAGCTACTTGAAACTTTAAAGAAATATGAAAAATTCACATTTCACACTTTGGATAATAAATAGAATAAAAATCTATGTTTATAATTGTTTCTACAACAATAATTATTGGAAAAATGCCTAAATGAACGCTGACGGTTTGAAATGGTGCTTCTCGATGTTAACAAAATAAACAAATATGCAGTAATATTTGTAAACATTACAGAAAAGGACATCTTACCATCAAAATGGATTACTCTAATGATGCAGCGGTAAAAGATCATTGTTTTCAGGTGTATTTATTAGTTTTTATTAACCTGATTGATCAAGGTGAGACACCTGAACGTTTTTCCTCACAACAGCATGGCGCTAGAAAACTGAACGCTGATCATAACGGCCGTGACAGCCATGAAAATATAAACGATTAGACAACAAGATGCGCATTGCGCTGCTCCATGAGCCCGGTTCGCTGAGCTCCAACCCAGTGTATGCTGTTGTTTTCATTTTATCTTAGAGTTCAAAGACGACAGCTCCATCTCCTAAACATTTCCCAACAAGATCAGAACCAGACCTAACCCTGGCCCTTTGCAAACGACATACAGAACAGAAAACTCCATCTGTTACACTAGACATCACTTCCTGTTCAGCTGGTCCAAACCGAGAATGCATGATTCGTGCACATAGAGGGGCATTCGAAAAGGTGGGGGGGACGTCAGAGTGCAGTTGAATGGATCGGGATCCAGTCATTAAGAATGGAACAATGATTGGATGAGTATTTTCCAGGATTGTTTATGTTTATGTATTTAGCAGACGCTTTTGTCCAAAGCGACTTACAAGTGATAATCGCCATGTTGCCCTTGAGGCTAACAACAACAATAACAACTTGACATCAGTCATGGAGAGTAGGGAACAAGGAGTGGACAGTAGAGAGGGGGGACGGGTGCAGGGAGGGTGCTAGTTTAGAAGATGCTCTCTGAAGAGCAGGGTCTTCAGGAGTTTCTTGAAAATTGAAAAGGAAGCTCCTGTTCTGGTAGTGCTTGGTAGGTCATTCCACATTTGTGGAACAATGCATGAGAAGAGTCTGGATGGTCCTGAGCGTGGTGTAGGCACCGCTAGCCGACCATCCTGTGATGACCGGAGCGGCCGGGCCGAGACGTAAGCCTTTGCAAGAGGATTCAGGTAGATGGGAGCCGTACCGTCTCGGACTTTGTATGCTAGTGTTAGCAATTTGAATTTGATGCGTGCTGCTAGCGGTAGCCAGTGGAGCTCAATGAACAGAGGGGTGACGTGTGCTCTTTTTGGCTGATTGAAGACCAGACGCGCCGCTGTGTTCTGGACCATTTGAAGAGGTCTCCCAGTACAGCCTGGAAGACCAGTTAGAAGGGCATTGCAGTAATGGAGGCAGGAGATGACAGTAGATTGCACCAGGAGCTGGGTGGCATGTTGTGTCAGGTATGGTCTGATCTTTCGTATGTTATACAGCGCAAAGCATCATGAACAAGCAACAGAGGCAACGTGATCTTTAAAGCTCAGGTGTTCATCAATCACAACACCCAGATTTTGAACTGCCTTTGAAGGAGCCAGAGATAGGAAGTAGTTTTGGATTGTACTTTGCAAATGCAATTAAAATTACTCATTATTTTGACAAAACCTTTAATTTATTGGTTGCCATCCGTATGTGAGGAGCATTTCAATAAAATGTCAACAAATACTCCAGAAAAACATCTTATAACCCACCTTTAAATACTGTTTGCATCTTGTAAAGGACACCACAGCCTGGAGAGATGATTTCATGCTTCTTTAAAGGGCGGTGGTAGAACGACCATTACATCACTACCAAGGGGAACAGGAAGGCAAAACTACGTGTTTTGTAGCCAAAATCCTGTTTTGTGAAGTGTTTTAACTTGTTTTGAAAAAATGAAGATGACACATGAGGAGAAAATGTTTGTGACTGGGTGATTCAGTGTTTTTGTCGCCACCGACATCTCCCTCTCTCTCTTGCACCGATTCACTTCTCTGAGATGATAATTACTGTGACTGAAGCGAAACGTTAACGCGTCCCAACAACACGAGCTTAAATCACAACCCCCAAATAAAGATAAGAATAACTTTGACAGATAACCCAGATGTTCACAACAACCAACAAGCGCTGCCTGTTATTCAGGCCAAATGAAAGCTTTGGCTGTTTGCAAAACTGGGGATTCCACTTTTATGAGATGTAATTTCATGCTGTTTTTGTGCAGCTGGGCTAACCACTCTCTGTCTCAGCAACCACACAGGATGCACTTAACTTCTTTGTGGCTGATGATGGAAGCCGGAGATTGTATTTAGACGACTGTGAGCCCAGATTGAAAATCCTTGAATGCAAAGCGTTCTTGATGTAAAAAAAAAAAAAAACAACCTAACCTCAAACAACTGGTTTCAGGTGTGATGGTGAGATCTCAGAGTGGAGAGGTTCAACTAATAAAAGACTCAACAGTCAGCTGAGACACAAGATGGCTTTCTGCTTCATCATTCTCTCAGCCAGCCCAGAGTTCGGTTAATATTTATCTTTTCTTGCTCAGGAACGCCATCGTGGGTTAATTAACGCACGGCGGCGGCGGCGGCGTCCTTGGACTTGTTATTAGTCTGTAGTTATTTCGTTTTCTTCAGTGAGATCACAGCAGACCCTGCCTTGGGAGCATCACTTAACCCAGAATCACTAGCACTCTCCCGGTTGCCAAGCAACCCGGTCACGTCTCCGAGGGTATTTGGAAGCAGTAGCTCTCTGTATGTGGGATGAACCCAGTTTTAAGTAAATTAGATCTTCGCGGGGGGGGGGGGGGGGGGGGGGTTGCTTCCTCTGCGTCATTGCAGTGTGGTGGTGGGGGGTGGCGGCCGGAGCTAAAAGGTCTGTTGTCTTTGTTTTGGGACTAGATGAAATCAGAAAACCACTCACTACCATTCTGTATCTGTTATTTGTGTGTATTTATATAATAAATAAATAAAATACACACACAAGTATTTTACAGGAATCATGATGTAATGCCTTAATCCAACAGATTGTTTTAGCATAAATGAACAATAAATACATAAAATGCCAGCAAAGTGAACATTTGTTGTTATTTTGCTTCTCAAGCCTTAATGTTGATCTTTTGTTTATTTTCTGCGATTTTAGTTAATGCCCTGGCCACTGCTCGACTTGAATACTGTAACACACTACTTTCTGGCTTAACACAAAAATCACTCCAGAAATTGCAACTGGTACAGAACTGAGCAGCCCGTATCATCACCAGGACACCATCTGCACACCATATCACTCCAGTTCTCAAGCAGCTGCATTGGATTCCGATCCAGTTCCGTATTGAGTTTAAAATCCTTTTGCTAACATTCAAAGCCCTCAATAACCTAACCCCCCCCCATATGTAATTCATCTCCTCCATGTTTACACATTGCCTCGCACTCTTCGTTCCTCTTCAGATCGTCTCCTCACCATTCCACGCACCCGTCTGTCTGCCATGGGACTCGGGTCATTCGGTTCATCTGCACCGTGGCTCTGCAGCAAAATCCCATTGGACTTTTGTTAGGCTTCATCGATTCAATCATTCAAATCGCTTCTTAAATCGTACCTGTTCAGACGTGCACACCCTATTTGATCCTTTCCTGTTTTATTTCTTGTGTGGTTGTACTTCTCTTAACCCTGTTCTTAGCTATGTTTTATGTGCTGCTCTGTTGTCGATGCTTATTGATCTTATCTCTTGCTGGCATCGTTTTTAAGTTGTGTTATTTGTGTTTGTTTTATGTTTAGCGATCTTGAGAGTATTGAAATGTGCTTACAGGTAAATGTGTTATTATTATTTTAGTCTTGAGAGGCATTTTGTTGAAATTTTCTTTTCTCTTTTTTTTCTTTATTACAATTTTCTGCATTCTGGATATCATCTGAGTAAAAGTTATAAGTAATTACTAGATATGGAAGAAAACGTCAACACAGAGAAATATTGCAATAGTCTATGCTACTATACTGGATTGATGTTTTAAATCCGACTACATTCAATTCTGTTTATTTATAAAGTGTTAGATCACAACAAGAGTCGTCTCAAGGCGCTTCGCAAAGTAAACATTCACGAGTGTGGGTGTAAATAGACAATTTACATGCAAACATTTGCTATATATTTTTTGTGTGGTTCAGTGTTTCCCCTGGGAATTTTTCCAGCTGTGTGTGTGTGTGTGTGGGGGGGGGGGGGAATTATGACACGTCTCACCTTTATGTTAATATTGTTTTATTTGATGCACTCCACTTTGAACTGCACCAATCCAGCAACAGCTGCATTGTAATAACTAGTATTAACAGTGAATACACCTGTATTTGCACAAAAATAATTTTTATTTTAAACTCTCAGAGACACACTTTGGCGGGGGTGGGGGGGTGGCATTTAATTTTACTTGGCGTCTGGAAAAACATCTCCTTCTGCCCCCTGTATTTTGGTCCAAGACCATTACTGGGCTGGCCCTGTTAAACACCTTCTACACCCCTGCTTAGTAGTCTTAATGAAGTATTTTTAAGCCAGTATAAAAATGACTGAAACACAAATGTACATATTTGGCATTACTGACCAATATCTTTGATTTAATTTATGTGTTGAGAACATCAAGATGCATTACAGTGAACATTATAATAAAGTACATGTTTCTAGTGCAGAGAGGAGACGACCCATAGAAGCACTGATTTGATCTCATTTCAGAGAAAAATAGAACAGGTCAGATGCACCTAATAAATCAAATTACTAACATAAACTCAGGAATCTGTTTCTTTGCTTCGTTGTTCTGGTGCTGAAAACATCACTCATGCCAATCAAAGGAGATACACAGATGAATGCACCTCTTATTTATTATTTGGAAATTAGTGGGTGTGGTTTACATCAGTACATTATTTTAAATCTGAAATTGATATGGATTAATCAGAAGTTGTTTATTTATAAACTATTGTTTATTTGAAAACTATTTACAGAGCAGCCTCAGAACTGAGATTAAATATTTTTGATCACAACAGTAAAGGAACTATTACAGAACAAGTTTTTCAGTAAAATCAGAACATTAATATTTAAGTGCATGAATTAATACATCTGAACTCATGCAGTGGGAACTAGGAAATATGAAATACTAGAACCATTTGATTTTAATTTGATTCAACTGATTTTTTCCTATTGTTGTTGGAACTTTACACAGTTAAAGAGAGAGAAAAAACCCGAGCGGAGGCAGTGACCGACGCATGCACGAGCCGTTTTCAGCTCTGTCTTGTCAAAGAAAAAAGTAACTTTAAATATTCAACCGAAAAAGAGGCGAGCTGAAGAAAACCTAGGGAGTACCGAAGAAACGTGAGCAACAGCGCCTCGTGATTTTTATCTTGAGAGGCGCTATATAATTGATATTTTCTTCTTCTTCTTCTTCTTCTTCTTCTACTTCTTCTTCAGTGAAGCAAGCACAGAGAGATCCGTTACTGTGTGTGTGTGCGCATGCATGCATGGGCCGGACTGAGCTCCCGGCTTTAGAGATTTGTGTGTAGGGAGGGGCGGGCGCTCTATGTGACTGGCCAATCACAGAGCGTGAAGATAGTCAGTTACCCAATGAGGATTTTCCTTCAGCACGATTACAGATATTTACGAGTTTTACTCGTTTCATGCTCGTATTCGTCAAAAATGCTTTATCCGTACCGGATACTCGTCTGAAAATGAGTATCCGGCTCATCCCTAGCTGTAACCACCCTGCCCTGCCTGCTCCTCCAGGCTGCCTGCCGGCTGTGATCACAAGCAACAACAGAGTAGCTCCCGCTGCTTCTTCAGGAAACAGCGCAACAAAAAAAAAATCAATAAAACTTGGGATCTTGTAGGCGTGGCGCTGAGATTTCAGCGGTAGCGGCCCGCCACGGCTACGCCTATGTGTGGGAAATACTGGGTTCAGTTCAAACTCCGACTGCTAGGTGGCACCAGTTTTTACTGCTTTTTTTCCATACAAACAATAAGATCTCGCGATGCCACCGTATGTGTCATGGAAGCATCTGGTCTGAGTTTTCCAATTCAATTCTGTCTTAAAATTGTAAATGTCTGCTGTTTAATATTACAAAATAGCATTTCGCCACATTCTTGCACACAGACCATACACATCCCTAAAAATACTGCCTTACCTGTTTTAGATCGTCCCCTGAATTGTAACCGTTCAGAGAGGCGTTTACAACCTAAAAGCGAAAGCTAACACCTCGACTCAACCCAACTGGATGCCATCTTAAAACTGCTCCAAAATTTCAAAGCATTTAATGCAAACATTAGCTAATAAACCAATTTACTGCTAGCAGTTCAGGCATGATACAAGATGAATGTGCCAGAAATATGAAGGAAGTATTTTAAGGCTGCTTCAAAGTGTTTGTAAGCAGGGCTGCACATAACTTTATGAATGAGGGTGTTGATGAGGTTTGAGTTTTTGCGGTGGCCAGAGTTCCCCAGTGCTACAAGCGGAGTGCTCCAGGAACAAGCTTGCAATGTGCGTGTTTATTTAGTGCTTCTCAAATAGCACGGAGCAGTTTTCGAAACGCGCATCGATTGCTGAAACAACGAGAATACCAATGTAACAATATATGCATGTCTAACAGTTATGTGCATGCCCGTTTATAAAATAATAGTAGCACGCACCTCTTTAAAATTGTAGGAGATACAGCCGTTTTAAACCAGAAACATTTTCGTTTGGTCATTCTAACCTAGTCATTAGCTTATCAGTCCTGCAGGACATACACAGAGAGTTCAGGAAGCTATTTGCATTTGTTTTTATCTAAAAAGATGCCTTTCTCTGTTAACTCATTCACTGCCAGCCGTTTCCTGATCGCTAACGGCCTTCGCTGCCAGCGTTTCTCGCCGTTTTTACGGGTTTTTTTAAGAGTCACAGAACGTTAAGTGCCAGGACGATGTCAACACCAAAACAAAGAGGAGACTCACCTCTTACATCAGGAAGAATCCGCGCGTTTCGAGCGTTATCCGTTCTTTCATAATCCGTTGTCGAATTGTGATCGGCAGACGCTTTTCCGGTTCGCGCCTCGCTTTTTTTTTTTTTTACAGCAGCGGCCCAAAACGATCTCCTAACACATGGATTTTCTGCTTCCTGATCATGTGACGCGTGACTTATGCAGATGAAGATCGGCTTCAGAGCTGAGAAGTTTGTTCTCTCGGTGCGGGGGCTCGTTCCGATGCCCAAACAGTAAAAAATGCAAATGACGACTTTAATCGTCATTGGCAGTGAACGAGTTAAAACTGTCAAATGTGGATTTGTACGTTCTCATCTGGAGATGCATCTAAGGTGTAGATTGGGACTTTCATAGCATAATGTGATTAACTGTCTTTTTTTAACCATTTATTGTCTTTTTTGTTTGTTTTTCAGAGCAAAATACCACAAGTTAAAATACGGGACGGAATTAAATCAAGGTGACATGAAGCCTCCAAGCTACGACTCTGGTGAGACTCAGAAAACCGACTACTTTTTCCTGCTGGCTCTAAATCGCTGTAAAGTCTGAGCTCACATTCCTTAAGTGACAGGACTGTGGTACACGTAACGGCAGCACGCGTGTTCAGTCTTGTCCCAATGCATTGCTTCACCTGGCGTTGTGAAACAGCATTTGTTGTTGCAGCATAAAGCCAGAAAACCCTTTTTAAAAACAAAACCACACACGGTTTCTTACAAGCACCAACAAAGTAATGAAACTGCTGAACAGACGTGTGAAGTTGTATTAAAACACTTTCCGTGTTTCTGTGTCTCCTCCTGATAGTTTCTCCAGTTTAGACAAGCTAAAGAAACAAAAATACCTTGTTTTGTTGTAAATTTTCATTTGAATTCAGTGAAAGATACGAGCAACACCCCAGAAAGATTCCCTTGTTGTTCGACTTAATCTATCGTCAGTCTTTTTATTTTAAATCAACTGTTTTAATGTTTTAAAAGAAAAGAGGAATCATTAAATCTGTATTTGTTGTGCTCTGGGGATTCGTTTGACTTATGGGGACGTTGTTGATGAAAAGGCTAATTATGTACTTTTTATATCACTGGGCTGAAAATCTTATTGAGCAGAAATAATCATTTGGCATAAATGCACACTTCTATTATTAGCTGATTTCTAGAAGTACTCATAAGGCTCTGAATGTTTGACTAATAAAAAAATCTCATTTACATCAAGCTTTATTAGTCAGCATAAATAAACGCCTGTAATTTATTTGGCTTTGGATGAAATGATTTGTTGAATAGGGACACGTTGCGTTAGTCTCGGAGGATAAATGGTGTTTTAAACAGATTTAGCTACTGGCTAATTTCCATTTACAGCCATTTATTGGTGGTGGACATCCCATAATATGAGCTGTCATGAAAACGTTTGAATGGGAGGGAGGCAGGACATTCACATTGTAGTGCTATTATGTGATGAATTATGGGGTTTAATTATGATCAATAAGATGTGATATTCCATATAAATATAGAATATCACATCTTATTGATCTTTGAACGTTTAACCAGAGGAATTTGGGATTCTTTGCTTATTCAGGGACCATAAACACACTTGGTATTAATTCAGACAGACTCAAGTATATAATTAAAATAAACTTATTTTCTAGACTAATTATAATTCATGACAAGCTACGAATAATGATGTGTGATGGAATGTGATGTGTGTCAGAACCTTTGTACCTGGAAGAAACTGAATCCTGGGTGTAAAAGAATTTATTGTCTGCTATAAACTAGAGAGTTGATTATTAATAAAACAACATCAGACACAATCTGTCATGTCTACAAACCCTGATTGGAGACCCCCGGTGTGATCCGGAATGTCAGGAAGTCTGGTGGACCCCAAGGCACCGAAGTTCGTAGAGAAAACGCAGTACGAGCAGTCCGGTCTCGGGTTGTCTCCAGGTCACAACAGGCAGGAAGGCTGTTGCGTCAAAGACGGAGGGACTCTTGAGGAGTCTTAGCTGTGTCAGCTTTGCAGCGTGCAAACAGGTTTCGACTGTGTGTCAGAGATGGTTCAGAAGAGGCCACTCCGGAGTATCAGCTGGAAACCGAATAACTCGGGAAGTCATCCTAGTTTTCATTCATCTTGAGTTTGTCATTTCTGCGAATCAGAATCTGACATGTTTGATGATGTTTACCAACATCCCTCTGAAACCACACCTTCATCAGGTACAAACGTGTTTTTTTGCTGTGGATAAAGAATCTTCAAACCTATGTGAGAGGTGACCGTAACTCCAATTTTTATCTTATGAACCTTGTGTATGAGTGTAGATGGTGATTACCTTGTCAAATCAAACCGTACTGATCATAACATTTAAATGGATCATTGTCGGAACAGTATTCATTTCAACTTCATTGATTTAGGCACATGTTATTCAAACGTTTCATTTAACGTCTGGTTCATTCAGCCATAGGATTATTTAAACACATGAGCTGTAAAAGGTCACTTCTTATTCCGAGTGTGGAATCCTGCAGTCTTATCAGAGGAAAGCTTTGTTTGGAGACATCGGCTGACATCTTGTCCCTATGGAATGTCAACACACAGTGCAGAATCTTTGCTGGGTGTTAGCAGATAGAGTTTAAAATCCGCTTAGTAAATGGAATTATATCAGCCGATGACTGGACACTGTGTAGGTCAATATGTAGGTGAAAACTGACCCCTTCTGGATGCTACAACGTACACCGTTGAAAATTCCTCTAATGGGTTCTCTAATAAGTTGCTGAGTCATGCTTTGGAGCATTTGGGTCCAAACTCCACTCCATCAGCTGATTTTTCTGACCAGTAACACAAAAATCTTGAGGTTTTATGTAGGGATGGACAATATATCGGCATCAATATCGGTATCGGCCGATGTTAGTCATTTTTTAACATATCGGTATCGATTCCATAAATTAAACTGGGCCGATATTAACAACTGATTTTTTTCCATCTCGTCTCCATTTGTTTGCCTGTTTCAGAGGGTGAGGGGGGTGATGTGTATTTGTTTAGTCATGTCACAGTGATTGAAATCATCTTAGAACCATAAATGTGTGTGGTGTGTGTACATAATAACGTAAATTCGGCTTTAATAATTTTCATTCTATACAAAATCTGCTGATTTTAGAAGCATTAATGTCTGTATATCGGTATCGGCAAATATCGGTTATCAGCCATTACAGTGATCTTAATATCGGACATAGGTATCGGCTCAAAAATGTCATATCGGTGCATCACTAGTTTTACATCTTCAAAAAAAAAACGTGTTTTCAGCCTACAGAGTGAGATGTGACGGTTTGTTTTGCCCACTATGACAGTAAAGATGACCAAGAACCACAGGTGGTTATGTCTAATTTAAGAAATCTGCTGTTCTCTTAGAACTTTGTAAGCTTAAGCGAACATCTTTCTGGGGTGTCTCCAAAATGTGAGCTGCATGGTGGAGCAGTGGGTAGCACTGTAGTTGCTCAGTGGGAAGATCGTTTGTTGGAATCCCGACTGCGGCCTCGTTTATGCGTGGGTTTCCTCTCACAGATCAAAAACATGCATGTCGGGTAACTTGGAAAGTCTGAATTGTCCCAACGTCTGAAGCGTCTGTCCCTGGGATGACCTGGAGACATTTCAGTTCAATTCAAATTTAATTCAAAGATACTTTATTAATCCCAGAGGGAAATTAGAGTTTCAGTACACACAGTTCAGAGATCAGACATACATGGACAAGACACATGACAAGAATTGGTGACTGTGGTCATTCGCAACCCGAGTCGCGCTACCTTAATAGAGATCAGAGGGTTACATGAGGATTGGTTCAGGTGGAGGGAAAAAAGGCGCTTCAGAGTTACCCTCCACAGGGAGGGCAGCTTTATTCTGCATATAACACCTCAGACAGAAATGCAACAGACTTCAGACATCACACAACATAAGTGTCCACTAGGTGGGGTGGTGGGTTCGGGACTCTCCACACGTCAGTTCCTGCAGCCACGATAAGCATCGCATGTCACCTCAGTCTGGACAGGGGGAGGGAGTTCGTTGAGGTTTGGAGGGCACGGTGACTCCTGGAACGATTCGGCGGCCTTCACAGCCCGCAGTCCCGCCCAGGCTGGGGTAGGAGACAGTTGCCATAGCGACTGCAGTTGTAGCGTCAGACCTGTCCAAGGTGTCCCCTGCTTTTCGCCCGTTGACTGCTGGAGGTATTCACCAGCTCTCCACCACCCCACTGAGCATGAAATGGTTAAGATACTGACAGAATAGTCAGACTTTGTTCCAAGCACCCAGAATCCGTTTTGGTTTAGTTTCTGCAGGTCAGCAACGGCGAGAAACAACTTTGGGTTTAAATAAGAAAGAATTAAGACCCTGTGTGATTTAAGCACAGCAAGAACATTTGCATACTGAAAACAATTGTACTGAAACTATTGAATTTCCCTCTGGGATTAATAAAGTATGTTTGAATTTTGAATTGAATGAATATTTGCACACATACCTTTTTGCATAAGTCTTATTCAAACCAGTTCAGAGTCAGAGTAAAAATTTAGCTTTTTTTTTTTTTGCTCACATTTTAGTTTTTCTGAGTCATCAGCAGCCAGATCCCTGAGAGATAACTACTCAGATAACAGATAGTGGTTATAATATATTCTTCTCATGCTCATGTGTTCGGTGCTTCCATAACAGTAGTTTTTTTTTGTCTCCCTCTGTCGTCTGCAGAGTACCTGCTTCTTATTATATGACTGTAGTAATGCTCCAGTTCTCATTTTATTTGCTCTCCTCTCTCCTCATTTCTATTCATGAGAGCTTTTCTAAACGCAGAACCCTTGAAGTGTTGATGAATTAGGGAAGGTGAAGGAGGAGGGAGAGCGCGGCTCACCTGCCTCCCCATCACCCTCTCTGAACCAGCTATGACCCACTTTGAAGGCATCTTCATTTCTCCATCTCACCAGATCGACCCCCTTCGGGTCCTCTGTGAGCAGACAGTTTCTAAATATCAAAGCAAGCTTAGAATTAGAGGTCCAAAGGTTGTGTGGTGTCTTTTCACCGTGTCACAGGACACAGTGGAGCAAAGATCAACCACGTGTGTGTCAGAAGACAAGCTCAGGAATGACACGTCTCGTTTTAACATAGGAAGGCTCTTCCACAGAAAGCAGTAGTGATTCCAGGTTTAACTTCAACGATTAAAGCTTTAGAGCGACTGCCTGACTGTAACTGTCGTTTGACTCCACTCAGGTGTTAAGACTGTGTTTAGTTTCCAGGCCATGGTGATGCAGGAATGTCCTTGTTTACTTAGTGTTGGGTGGGTGTGCTGATTTGTGTCCTCCTCTTCTCCTTCAGATGAGGCCAACGAAAACGAGACTTCTGGATCACTCAACAATCAGCTGTCCTGGAAACAAGGCCGGCAGCTCCTCAGACAGTGAGCTCTTTTATTTAAAGCTGACGCTTTACTCCGGACAACCTCCTGAATCTGTTAAATAGAAATACCAGCGTGTTGGCAGGCTAACGTCCTCGCTTCTTGTAGAGTTTGTGAAACGGACTGTGAGGCCAGTGGTTCTGTGAGCAGAAAGGGTAAAAGCTGTGGTGAGCAGCACCCTCACATGGACGGCTGCTGTTGTTACCACGGAGTCGGAGTCATTTCTGTGGTCCTGCTCTCCAGTCTGTCTGTTTAAATAAAGTGACGTCATCGCCAAGCACAATCACATCACACCCTAACACACTATGTTAAAGACGGCTCGGGATGGTGGCAGAAAGGAGCTGCATGCTGATTGGCTGGTTTACCTTGATGGCTCTGTGGCGCTACCCGAAGCCGTGTACCCACATACCTCAACAGGAAAGCTGTGGATCTTTGTTGGTCTAATCGTGTTTTTAAATGATGTCACACGGTGCTGACCTTGTACCGTCGGTTAGCACTCAGAGTTTGTGTTGTAAATGTCTCTCAGCTACTAGCACACCTAGCTTAGTATCCATAAAATTATCACCATGTTCAGTTGTAGGTGTATATCTAACGGCTGCTGTCTAAAAGTCATCCACTGGGTCTTGGTCAGAAACAACACGAGTTGCAGGTGTAACCAAGCGTGCGACCACCACTTCACTGCCTGCTGGTAATCTAGTTCACCCCGTTGCAGGTACCTGCAGGAGGTCGGCTACACAGACACCATCCTGGATGTGAAGTCCCAGCGGGTCCGAGCTCTGCTGGGACTTGCCGGAGACGGAGGCGGGAAAACGGGTGAACGGATGAACACGGAGCCTTCGGTCAACGGAACAGACTCAACGACTAAGGGCATCGGCACACCAGGGTAGGTGTCCTCAGCTTAAAAGTGTGTTGAAGCTGAAATGATGGTTTCTTTGTGAGAGTTATTTCTTTAGGGATGCGAGATAATGCTTTAGGTTCCGGTTGTTAGCATTAGAGCAAAGTCCGTCATTACCAGATTCATGTTTCTAGTAGAGGTAGAAAACCTTTGTTGAAGTACAGTGATCCCTCGTTTATCGCGGTAGATGCGTTCCAGACCTGGCCGCGATAGGTGAAAATCCGCGAAGTAGGGACACCATATTTACAGTATTTATTTAACAGGTACGTATTCAGTATTCAGACTTTTAAAACCCTCCCTTTACATAGAAAATTTTTTTACTTGGTTTTTTATAGTTTTATTACAAAAAGTGCATTTTTTGATGAAAAAAACAGGAATTTCTTGATATTTCGCATAGAAAATACCGCGAATCGGCGAATTTCCCTTGAATAAGGCTCCAAAGAAAAAATCCGCGAAGTAGGGACACCATATTTACAGTATTTATTTAACAGGTACGTATTAAGTATTCAGACTTTTAAAACCCTCCCTTTACATAGAAAAAACATTTTACTTGGTTTTTTATAGTTTTATTACACAAAGTGCATTTTATGATGAAATTGATGAAAAAACAGGAATTTCTTGATATTTCGCATAGAAAAATACCGCGAATCGGCGAATTTCCCTTGAATAAGGCTCCAAAGAAAAAATCCGCAAAGTCGTGAATCCGCGATAAACGAACCGCGGAGTAGCGAACGATCACTGTATTTGAACATAAAAACGGGCGATAAGAGGCTTCGCTCTCCAAATATGCAATAAGCATAATTTGAAAGGCATATTTTCATGTTTAAAAAGCTTAAACGCGTCCACACAACTGATGTCATCCGCTGTGTCTTCTGTCTTTTTTTTATTTTATTTCTGGACACAAATTTTTCCTTTTTTGACAAAAGTCCTGCCCTGCTCAAACATTAGCTGTTAGCGCGTCCAGCTGCTACCGAGCTGCACGGCTCCATTCCAGCCACATGATTGGTCCAACGCAGAGCAGCTCTTACTACCATTTGCTACTCATCTGTTCTACAAACTGCATCGACCTGTTCTTGTGTATCTATTGACGAAAAATGATCCTGAGTTATATTTGTATCGTTTCATCGCCAGCAGAAATATTCCAGGAACATTTCAGGCCTTTCAGATGAACCTTGGTCCATTAGAAACGGGTACTGGATAAATCCTGGACACGTTGTTAATCTAACCAGTCGTAAACGTCCCCCTTCAGGAAAGCTGAGCTCTCTGACACTAGCGCCGTCCTGGAGGCCTTCAAATTCATTGAAAACGCAGCGGCTGAGTTCAGCGATGAAGATGAGGAGGAGGACAGTGAGGGGAAGGAGAGGACTAATGTGGAATCCAGGACTGTAAGACACTCGTCTCCCCTCACCCTTCTGAACTGACACAATCGTGCCCCCCCCCCCTCAAAAAAAATCTTTTCTTATCATTTTTAGATCATGAGGAAGAAACCTCCTTCGTCATCATCACCAGCCAGTATGGACACCAGTGAGGACCCTGACGCCGAGGAGGCGCTGAAAGGCTTTGACTTCCTGTCCAGCCCTGACGAGACGGACACCTCGTCAGAGTCCAGAGGGACTGGAGACGGCACAGACTGGGGTGAGTCTAAATGTCTTGATGTACTATTTATTTATTATGGATGCAGTTAGATTATTTAGCTCCTCTTGGACGATAAGTTCAGATACTTCATAAAATGATCTTAAGATGTTGTATTCTTGTTTTTGGAGCCGATCATGGAGAAGTCGTCATTCATTTTTCATGCTGTGGTCATAAATCACGACACCAGGAGCGTTTAACTCATAGTTTGTCTGTTTGTCCCCATATCCTGTTTGTGTCCACAATGTGTCTCCTGCCTCGTGTCTCCTCTGACCAAACCCCGACCTGTTCAGGTGTTTAAAATTTAAACAACTTAATTTGTCTCTCGACACCGACGCGTATGGAGAGAGAAGACACCTGCCGGCTCCGCTCCCAGTATTTAAGAACACTTTTACTCCTCTGGAGGGTTTGAGAGCAGCGCGACGTCCAGAGGAGTAAAACCCCTGAGAGGTGTCTGCTCTGCCAGGCCCATCTGTTCTCGACCGGGGCGCTTCCTCAACAGCCTCTCGGTCTGGTTTTCTCCCCCTTGTTTAGAAAAGGACAAGCAAGGTCCCATTTCTGAGACCTGGGACGTGGACCCGGTCCTGATAACCGAACTCAAGGAGCAGTACAAAAAGGAGCGCAAGGGGAAAAAGGGGGTGAAGAGTAAGTCCTGTCAGGCACTGCCGCCTCCCTCCCTCCCTCTCCTCTCTTTACAGAGTCTGACTTTCCAGCCTAAAAGCCTCAAACCAAAAGCAAAGCCTCTTCATCGTTCTTCTCTCTCTCTAGCTCTTTTCCTCTTGCGTGCCCCCCCCCCCTTCCATTTCCTCATTATTGCTTGATGCATGTTTGTCTGTCCCACTTGTTTCTCCTCTCCTTTGCATCACACCATCATGGCGTCCACACTGTTGAGTATCAGCGGCACTCGGCTGTCCGCCTGAGTCCCTGTCATCTGTTTCCGTGTCTTTAGTCATCGTAACATAATGACCACCATCTTTTTTCTCGTCTGTCAGACGTGTTGATGCTACAGTAGAGAGATCATTAAAGAGCAAGTCACCCCCAAATCAACTATTTTTTTCTGATAAACTATATAAATGCATGTCTAATTGAGCTGCAGACACGTGTAGTCAATAGTTTTGCACTTTAGTGCATTTTAGGTAAAATTTAAATTTTCTGCCTGTAACTGTCAGTGTTGTGCCGTTGTCAGGTAAAAACTCTTCACTACATTTGAATTTAAATCTGCCACCGCTATTGGCTAAGAGGTATGCTATGATGTAAACTGGTACATTATGATGTCACAATGTCATGAGTGTGTGTATTTGTTAGTGGCTCCACCCTCTCGGTTTGCTAGGCAACAGCATTTGTTGCATTTTTCAAACATGAAGTGGGAGTGAAGTACGCTTCTTGTAAGGGGTGACTTGCTCTTTTAGCTGCGGGTTAACCGACAGATATTAAGATTTTTCTCTCACATTTGGACCAGCTCTGCTCTCTCCCTGCTGCGACTGATCATGAGATCAACAACTTGCTCCATCCCTCTTGACTCCAGCGCCTCTTTTCTTTTACACTTTATTTTTTTTCTGCTTTTCTTATTTAATTTCTTTTCCCCTCTTTGCCTCCTTGGCGCTTTATCGCTTTGGTGGGTGTGTGGAGATCACAAGGAGGGAGTTTCTGGAAGAGTTTGAGTAAAATTGAATATTTAGCAAATATTTAAGCTCATTTTTGGGGTCTTGCTTGAACATTTTAGGTGGGTTTTTGTAATTGGAGAGGTTTTGATTAGCAGATGACATCATTTCTGTTTGGGCTTGATATTTCTAATATATTTTAATATTTTTCTTTTGGTAAAATATTTACAAAAAATCAGTTGAGAGCTACACGTCTCAAATGACACACAAACACTTGTATTAATAACACATTTATAATCCATGCTAAATCATTTAAAATCCATCTAGGGTTGGCTATACATCATCTTTTCACCGTAGTACGGTAATTTGTTTTTGTCCGGTAGATAAAACGTACGTCGTGTTAACGTAAATAAATTCACTACGTAGCAGATTTACGCTCACGTGGGCCATGCCGAGTGGAGTTAATAAAGTTATAAACGTAGATGGAATCTCGCATCATTCACTCATATCAGCAAGTAGGGAAAGCTGCGTGGTACTTCCTGAGGGATTTTAAATGCCGCAGGCCCCCTCACCTGTTACCTGGTTGCACTGAGAGGTTTGGCCCATCTCTCACCACAAACAGATAAATAAAATAACGTTGGCCATGGCGAAAAGACTCACTGACACCTATTCTTCCTTAAAAACAGTTTTTTCCCTTCAGAATCAAGAACTTGATCTTTTTACTTGCTGTCTGCGAGTGCTCGTAATTTCTGTCCGTCTGTTAACTTTCTATCTTCTCTCCCTCTTGAGAAACACTAAACTCAGCGGAGAATTTTCTTCCTGAGGTTTGTTGGTAAAATCTATCCTCGATAGGCTTGATTTTTGGTCTGTATTTAATGCATCGCCCTTCCCTTCCTCAGACTGTCCCGCTGAACCTGAGGTCAGTGGACTCAGTGGTCTCCTTTAAAAAGCAGCTAAAAACTCACCTGTTCAAGCTGGCTTTTGCGTGACCTTCATAATCACCCTCTCCTTATTCAGCTTTTTACTCGTTTTTCCCTGGATCCACAGATTTCCCTTTCCTCACATTTTTAATGACTATTTTTTTCACTTTTATATTTTTAAATAATAATAAAAAAACTTTTTATTAAAAAAATTGTTCTTGTGAAGCACCTTGTGAATTTTATCTTGATAGACGCTATATAAAAGATTTTTTTGTTTCTTTCTGTTATTGATCGCTACGTGCTAACTATTTCTCTTTTGAGGCACTAGTAAACATTAAAGGAGCAATATGTAAGAATTTTACAGTGAAATAATTGTAAAACAGTCGAATGTCTCATCATGTTGGAAGAAGGGGGGGGGGGTTCGCACGCGCTCTATTTTAGGTTTTGTGTGAAAATAAGTCCAGGACTACAAACGCGCTTCATGAAATTGACGTCAACGAACCAGACACGGGAAAAAACTGAGTGAAAAGGGCTGTAAGTTCAGCAAACTTCCCACAGGAGGAAAGAACAACCATAAATCTGGTCATTTGGTAAGTAGCAGCCACTTTGGGGAGAGGAGATTATGTGGTGATGTCACCACATATGCGACTTGCCGATTTCTGGTTTGTAGTCATGCTAATTACGAACCTTTACAAGCTAATCAAACTCAAAAGTACGTGACTGGCGTGGTTGAAACACCCATCATTACTTTTCATTTAAAATGCAGTACGACATATGAGCGATCCAGGGCGTACGGCAAAGCGGATTAGAAAATAGCGTTTTTAGCCCTGTTGACTTGTATTCATTCATTTTTTCGTTCTTCTAGAGACCCACGATGCGGAAGTAGACTTAGGCTCCCTATAGCGCCTTCTTGGGGTCTCTGGATCTGTTTTTTTAAGATGGCGACCTCACGTTTCCTGTTTATGAATGGGTTTCTGTAGCTGACAAACGGAGCTAAAACACGCAGTTTTACGAGTATTATTCTCATGTCATGTTGTGTTCTCGTATATTTATATTTTAGAGACTTTCTTGTCCGTGAAAAGTTCATCAACTCTGCATCAGCTGAGGTATTCCTTAAAATTGAAGCAGGTAAGCGGTAGTTTAACGCCATTGGTTAGTTCTGGTCGGCCCTATGTTTCCTATTGCGTGGAGCTCTGTGGGGCAGGGGCCGTGCTTAGCAAAAAAAATAAATAAAAGAAGAAGTTTTGCTTACATTATATCACACGTAACGTGAAAAGCAACACTATTTACCCCTCTACACTCAGTACATGATAAAACAATCACTTGTACGGGTTTCTGAATAATCATACATCATTTCTGAAAGGGGAAACCTCCGGAAAGCTACTTTATAGTGTCTTGCACCTGCAACCTTCCGATTACAGGAAAATGGGCCGCAGTATCCGCGTTTTGACCACAGGATGTCATTCTTTCTTCATTCTTACATAGTGGACATGTAAGTAAAGGCGATTAGTTGACTGACTTAAAGTTTTTCTTAGATTTAATAAACTTCTAGTTGAAACTTCATCCTGGCGTGAGTCTTTTTCACCAAGTCTCTCCACACAGTTCACACTAACCGATAAACGTGCCTGAACACTTGTTCTACCTCACAGGACTCTGCTGACCCTCCTATCTCCAGCTTTGGTGACTCTCCTATCTCCAGCTTTGGTGACTCTCCTATCTCCAGCTTTGGTTATTAGATACGTTTTTCTTCCTTTGGGTGCTGCTTCCCCTCCATATTCATTCTGTTTCGCTGCCTGTTTGCAGTTTTCTGGTTTCTTTTTTCCACTCGCCTCCACTGTGAGTCCACTGTGTTAACTTGTAACCGGACCTGTTAACAGGACCCAACCGGTCCAAGCTGCAAGACATGCTGGCTAACCTGAGAGATGTAGAGGACTTGTCTCACATGCAGCCTCCGTCCGCCCCGCAGTCCCGGCCCAATGTGGCTCGCTTCAACGAACACGAGGGGAACCGGACGGAAGAAGGTACCTTTATTTTTTTTTAATTAACCGTTAATAAAAAAACACTATTTTTTTAGCTGTTTTGACTTTTTAAATTCTATTTTCTCTAGTTGAGGCGCTTACTTTCCCCCCCACCTCAGGAAAGTCGTTCATTATCGGGACGGATGAGGCGATGGAGAGCGTTCTGGGCCTGGGAGATCTGGCAGGACTTACAGTGGCCAACGAAGCTGAGAGCCTCGCTTACGATGTGAGTGGGGAGAATGTTTTCAGCTTCATCACCATAGTTGGCGTTAATCTTGTTCGAGCATGTAAATACGTCAAAATGTCCGACTCACACCACTGTAAAACATTCCATCCTCAGATCGGCAACAACAAGGACGCCATGAGGAAGACGTGGAACCCCAAGTTCACCCTGAGGAGTCATTTCGACGGGATCCGCGCTCTTACCTTCCACCCCGTGGAGCCCGTCCTCATCACAGCCTCAGAGGACCACACGCTCAAAATGTGGAACCTTCAGAAGACCACTCCCGCTAAAAAGTAAGACCATCTCCTCTCTGGATGGAGTTTAGAAAGAGCAACGTTTTACACACCAGGGTTGTTTTAAAGGGACTTAAAGTGTTTGTTGAACTTGTTCTCTGCAGGAGTACGTCTTTAGATGTGGAACCCATCTACACGTTCAGAGCTCACAGGTAAAGCTCACCTTTAGTTTTTACTTGATTTGATGGATGGTATGTTTGGTGTAAATGTTCTGTTGTTGCAGGGGAGCTGTACTGAGTGTTGTTATGAGCAGCACAGGGGAGCAGTGTTTCAGTGGAGGGGTAGACGGCACCATCCAGTGTTGGAACACTCCCAACCCCAACATCGATCCTTACGACTCCTACGGTAAACTTCCTGTTTGCGTTTCTATAGTTAGTCCAACTTTTTAAGTCAAGGGCCACATTTTTCACATTGAAGGTGGAATAGGAGTTTTTTTTTTGTGCCGTTCACTCACGTTACTTTTTGAATATACACGATACTTGTTCCTGAAGGTTCAGTATTACACTTTCGACCAACTGTTGGCCCCTTTTCTGCCATGATTCTTCACGTAACGCACCAACGTAGCCATTTAACTAGTTAGCATGCTAGCTAATGTAGTGTGGCATTTTTATGGAGAAGAAGGAGGTGCTTTCAGCTTTCTTGGTTTGTTGGCTTCAAAATCCCAGCAGCTCGGTAGCACCAGCAATCTGGGAAAACCTCACAAAAGGGTCAGGGCTTAGGGGCAGCGGTAGCTCGGGAGGGAGAGCGGATTAGTGATCGGATGTTCGCAAGCTCGATCCCATCTCTGCTAGAGAATTCTGCTGTTGTGTCCTTGGGCAAGACACTCAACCCTCGACCAGCTCAGTGGCCTAGTGGGGGAGTGTCTGCCCCGGGACTGGGAGATCGGAGGTCAAATTCCGGTCAGGTCATACCAACGACTTTATAAGAATGGGACCCAATGCCTCCCTTCTTGACACTCAGCAGGGGTTGGATTGGGGGGGTTGAACCCTGTGTGTGTGTGTGTGTGTGTGTGTGTGTGTGTGTGTGTGTGTGTGTGTGTGTGTGTGTGACAACTATGGGATCTTAATCATTATCCCACCTTGTCTACTCTGATACAATGTAGTGTAAAGCACTTTGGAGTCCTCTGACTCAGAGGGGCGCTTATACAAGTGCGAGTCATTTATCATGGCTGCTTGATGGGTGGAGCAAGAAGCAGTCATTTAGAACAGGACGTTCACAATGATCGGGTGAGGTTTTTTCTGCTTGTCTCACATGGTTGCCGTTAGGGCTGGGAGATACGGCCTAACATCAGTATCACCATGTATGGAGGATTTCACCTCAACAAGGATAAATGGACGGTAACTACATATATGCGCAGAAACAAAAGTTGCCCACTAGATGGGGCTGTTACATGTGTTATGTTGAGACGTGGAAAAAACAAAAATGTCAGAAATTATAACGATAAATCTGATTTATTGCCCAGCCCTAGTATTTCAAGCATTATGGTAAAAATTGCTCCTGAAAAACATCACTTCCTATTGGACAACAAAAATGTGATTTTCTTTTATTCTTAAAACTTGCAACCATTATTTAATGGTCTTGTTTTAATTTGTGCTTCTCAAAATATGCATGTTAGTAAAAATCTGACCATAAAGATGTTAGAAAGTCTGGATCTACAACAACAGCATGTTGGATAGGAAAAGTCATCATTCTAGAAATGTTAAACCACTCTGAGGACCACGATCAACCCCCGAACTGCTGTTTGGACACGCCTGGTTTAAGCTGATATATTCTGTGTTCCGTGCAACAGACCCGGCGGTGCTGCGTGGCGAGCTGAGTGGACACACCGACTCGGTTTGGGGTTTGGTGTACAGCAGCACACACCAACGCCTCCTCTCCTGCTCCGCAGACGGCACCGTGAGGCTCTGGGACGCCAACACCACCTCTCCGGCCCTTGCATTATTCAATGAAAACAAAAGTACAGAATTTATTTATTTGTGGATTTTAATTTCACCTCTCTTTTGGGGGAGGGGGTTAAAAGCAGGAATAAAACCGTTGTTTCTGTTCTAGAGCTGGGAACCCCCTCCTCTGTAGACCTGGTGTGTAGCGAACCGGCTCACCTGGTCACGTCCTTCACTAATGGGCAGATCGGCCTCTTCAACATGGAGACCCGGCAGCTGGTCCTCAGTCTGGAGTCCGGTTTGGAGCCGGGTACGTTTTTCAAGCCTCGTGTTGGGTTCTGGTGTTGTTTGTAGCAGGTCATCAGGTTTTTCTAGCTCCTGCTCCACATCAGAGGTTCTTTGTCTCCGTCATCAACCCAAAAGAACCAATCACCGTTGTTGAAAAGTGAAACCAAAACATCCTGTTTTATGTTGTTTTTGGAACCAGTGTGTGTGCATTCAGGCTCCTGGCCCACCCGCACTCAGTCATCGCTGATTAAGGGGCTCGACACGCGGGAGGCGACCCGCGGCCAGCGGCGAAGCCGTCGACGCGTTCTGTTCCATGGCGAAATCAAAACTTCCGTTGTTTTGATTGGCTGTGTCGGGTTGGAGGGAATTAAGGTTATTTAAGCGGTTCAGAGTTAATAAAGCGGTAGATATGATGTTTCACAAGGTGCTGCTAGAGTTATGTGAAATCTTACTTCTGATTTTTCTATAAAACACCCCCCCAGAATGGTTTCATCCCATATTACAAACCAGAGAAGGAATAGAAGAGTACCGTCATTTAATGAGGGACCCACGCCGCGGCCTTTTTCTGAATATCTCTATATTCTTTGGTAGAAATGTTGTAGCCTACAGTTCTGGGAAACCCGTCACAGCAAGTATCAACGTCTCCTCCATGTTTGCTCGGAGATGTACGGAGCATCCTGTCCGCTCATTGGTCAGTGAATGAAACCTCCGTTGATTGGTCCTCGTCCGAGCGACGGCGATGAAAAGTTGAAAATGTTTCAACTTTCTGGGATCGCGTCGCTGGGTCGCCTGTGCACGACACGCGCACGAGCGCAAAAATTCACACGCACGTTTTTCGTATTTCGCTTGGTAGGAGAGAGACCCGTTTAGATGATTAAACGATCACCATGGTTACCACTCTCTCCAATGCAATATGCCATTGTTTAGTTTTCCTTTGATTCTTTCAAAATAATTGAAGTTACCAAATACTTTTTACTCCACTAAATTATTTATGTACGACCGAACACATACCCTGCGTAGGTTTGCATGAAATCTAACGTGGAAAATGAAAGCAAACATGTCAGTTATTTTTTTAAAACCAAATCAGCTGAGAGTCAGAAAACAGGAGCGATGCTTCTGGTCTTTACGTCCCCTGACAGCTCATGTGGGATTGTGACGAACAAACACCTTTTGGAGCGGCTCGTGAAGACTTCATGTTGTATAAAAAGCGAGTTAGGTTCAAGCTAAAGGGCGCAGAGATGCCCCCCCCCCCCCCCCCCCCCCCCCCCACACACACACACTTTGTCCCACCATCACGTAGTCTTTGTGAAAACACGTGATGGCGTTACAGACTCACCACTTATAAACGACCAAAGCCTCCCTGGTGCTGCCTCAGCTCTGCAGCAAAGTAACGCCGAGTTTCTTGAAGAGGCCGGAGTTGCGGGAAAGTTTTGCTAATCCTTCCTCGAGTGTCGGCTGGTTAGGATCACCGACCACCAGCTTCCTGTCGTCCAACCCAGGATGGAATTGTGTAAGGTGCTGTCGCGAGTCGGTGGTGTTGCTGTGGTATTTGATTTTAGTTTTACACACTTTACTTTAATCCTCCTGATGAGTACATCTCACGCTCAGTGGCTAAAGCTAATAAGAAGCTTCCATGTTAGCGGTTTTGTTTTTTCCGCTGGTCCGTCCCTCTAAAGCAGGGGTGTCAAATACGCGGCCCGAGGGCCGAATCCGGCCCGCAAGCGGGTTAAATCCGGCCCGCGAGATGGTTGTGTAAACTTTGTTTTCATACTTTACAATGTAGAGTGAAAATAAACGTATCTTTGTGAGCAAGTTTCCTCTGTAATGAGTATAAATAAAACAAAGCTGCGCTCAAGGCTCACACAAGAACTTGAATCCCATCCTGAAGATGGCCGCCACTCAGGATGTGACTTCTGATGTTGATGTGCTGGTGAAAGCTAAAAGATGTAAAGTAAAATGAGTCAAATATACTTTAAGTGCTGCATGAAAGTGATCTAGCCATGTGATCTGTAAGCTCTTTGAATCACTAAGGAATGTTTTTATTTATTTATTGTTTTTTTATTTTTTTCAAATTTTCAAGTACACTTCAGGTGTTGTACTTGTACTACACTGTCCTCAGGCTCCAGCCTTGTTTTATATTGATTGTATTAAAACAAAGAAAACAATCTGAAGTTTTTTTTTTTTATTTACCGGTCCGGCCCACTTGGGACTAGATTTCCCTCGATGTGGCCCCTGAGCTAAAATGAGTTTGACACCCCTGCTCTAAAGTGTCTGGGCGGCGTGAGTAACTTATGTTCCTATCGCGCTTCACGGCAGTTTTTGGCGTTTATTTATAATTGATTATGAACGTTTATGAATCTATAATTGATCATAGATTAAGTGGTGAATCTGCTCACCTCTAGTGCATGGATATTAGCTTCTTATCACCGTAGGACCCATAACTGGTATTTGTGAATTTCTCTGTTTTGTTTTCAAACCAGGAACCCCTTGTCACATCAACAAAGTCCTCAGTCACCCCACTCTTCCAATCACCATCACAGCCCAGGAGGACAGGCACATCAAGTTCTTTGACAACAACAGCGGGAAGCTGGTTCACTCCATGGTGGCCCACCTGGACGCGGTCACCAGCTTGGCTGTGGATCCCAACGGGCTCTATCTCATGTCTGGAAGTGAGTATATGTCAAATTAATGTTGTCGTTATTAGAAGATAACAGATGACCGAACTGGGTCTGGCGGTTGACTTCTCACATCCCGTCCTCCTGTGAACAGGTCATGACTGCTCCATCCGCCTGTGGAACCTGGAGAGTAAAACCTGCATCCAGGAGTTCACGGCCCACAGGAAGAAGTTCGAGGAGTCGATCCACGACGTGGCGTTCCATCCGTCTAAATGCTACATTGCCAGCGCCGGGGCAGATGCTCTCGCCAAGGTGTTTGTATGACGTGGAGCTCCCGTGTGTTCCCCTCCTCCTCCCCACCATCACAGCTTCGCTCTCTGACTCAGTCTTTCAGGATCAGGGACCAGTAGAGACTCAGCGGGGGGGGTGGGGGCGCTACCAGGCAGGGGTCCGGTCCCATCTCACTCAGCCCACTGGTCACCTCTCAGACTTCATAGCCTCCAAAAGGCTGGGACTCTCCTCCAAGAGGGTTGGCAGGAAGTCCAGTCGGGAGTAGAGCTGCTCTCTGGTCCCCTCCCTCCTCCACCCACCATCCAGGCAGGCCTGGGTGTGACTGGCCACAGAGCCCCTGCAGACTCAAACTTAACCCTCCTCTACAGAAAGGACAAGTGTTAGAGGAGTGGAGGAATGGGGTTCCACCCCTCGCCCCTCTTCCTGCTTATTCCAGCTCCTTCAGATCCTCATCCATAAAAAAAAAACAAGTCCAGACCCTTTTCTCCAAGTCAGGTTGTGCGTCCGAACCGCCAGGTGCCGACCCAGAAGCCTCCCACGTCCTCTTCTCTGCCTCCCAGACGGACTCTGCTTGCTGACCTGCCTTTCTTTGTTCCTCTTTTTTTAAACCTAATATTGACAAATGTGCCTTTGCTTTAAAAAGGTCTTTAAAATGTTCTTTTAACAAGCTTTCTTTGTGAGGGGGTGTTGAAAACGAGGGAGGGAGGGGAGGAGAATCGGAGCGGGGGGTCACAATGTTGTCAGTTTTAACATTGGATGTAAAATTACAAATGCTTATAATAAACAAAATATATATTCAGTCTTAAAAGGAATTACTGTGCAGTGTGAGTTTGGGTGCTCCTTTTTGATAAGTGTGGTTGGGAAATTAGGTTGTTTTTTTGTGCGTGTGTGTGTGTGCGCGCGAGTGTGCGAGTGTGTGTGTTTCGGGGGCAAAGCTGGTAGCAGACATTAAATATATTATTGCCTGTTTGTTAGAGCTGTACAACTTCAGAAGTCAAAGCTAAAGCGTTTGTGTCCAAAGTAAAGCATCCTGGTTATAGAATTAAAACCCAGACTTGGTTCTAGATGTCAGTTTTAGGAGTAACTAACACATTTTGGCCAGTTCTCTCGTTTGAATCGAATGCCGTGTACTGTATGTAGCCCCCACCCAAACACCGCCCCCTGCTGTTTGGACATGCTTGACTACGATGTGATGTCCTGATATTTACAGTAGTCCCTTGTTTTAGCAGGAAGCTAGTGCAGTACTTTAGGTCTATTTGGAATGATTTCACCGTTCAGCACGGATGGGGGAGAAACGTACCGCCGGTCTCAGTTTACTGTAACATGAGGAGGTTTAAAAAAATAAAAGGATGAAATTTAAATAAAGGTCGATCAAGTCGTCGTACATGGAGAGTACAGCTTTACATGAGCCATTTTCTCAGTCACTGGTTTGTATATGAAAGTATGTTCAAAATAAAAACCTGCTGTAAAATGTTAATTGGGCTCAGTTGTGGGTCATTTTCTGCATGTTTCACCGTTTCAGAGTAAACGCCCTCCATCACCAGCAGTTTGGGACCAAGATCTTGTCTAAATGTTTGTTTTAATACGACGTTTAAAACCAAACGGAACTAAATTATTCATTATACTAGAGTAAATGTTTTAGAAGAGAAAGAACCATGACCTCCTTTTTTTGTTTTTGCAGAAAAAAAAATTCAAATCCAAGAAAATTTACTAACAATTATAAATGCAGGAAAGTTAAGTAAAAATACAAAATGGGAGCAAATTTTTTTACAAAAAACTAATTTATTTTTTATATTTATACGTATATAGTAGTGGATAGTAGATATTTACTAGTGTGATTCTGTGTAACATTTCTAATGAATATTTTATGTTTTACCTGAACAACCTCAGTTAAGAGAAATGGTGTTTATGTCATATGGGATTCATGAGCTAACGCGTCTGTTGGGTAGCCTAGTGAACTAGACCAAATTCTTGCTTTGCAAAGATTGGTCTAGGAATGCTCCACTGGAACCTCAGCAGCTCCTACCAGGACTCTGGCTAGCCAATCACAGCTCTCTAGAGGGGGTTCAAGCACATAAAGAGCTGTGATTAGTCCATAATGGTGGGCCAATCATAGTGCTCTATCTGCTTAGTGAACAAATCACAGAGCTTTATCCGCTTTGTGGGCCAATCAGGGCACTCTATATGCCTGGTGGGTGGGATGATGCAACAGAGTAAAACAAGAGTATGTCACATTCATTGTCCAGTGGAATGCGGAGATCATTTGAAAGACAACGGTAGAACCCGCCCCACAACCGAGAGCCGTCAATGGAGCGTGGCCAGACTACATAATACATTTATTTAGTCTGGCTTGCCAGGCCATCTGTTGGGGCCATCTTAACTCATTCACTGCCATTGACGACGACAAGTTGTCATTTGCATGTTTTTACTGTGTGGGCGTCGGAACGAGCCCCAGCACCGTGAGAACAAACATCCCAGCTCTAAAGCTGATTTTCATCCACGTACGTCAAACATCACATGACCAGGAAGCAGAACATCCATGTGTTAGGAGATCGTTTTGGGCCGTTGCTGTAAAAAAAAGTGAGGTGCGACCCAGAAAAGCGTCTGCCGATCACAATTCAACAACGGATTATGAAAGAACGGATAACGCTCGAAACGCGCGGATTCTTCCTGATGTAAGAGGTGAGTCTCCACTTTGTTTTGGTTGTTTTGGCATTGACATCATCCTAGCGCGCAACGTTCTGTGACTCTTAAAAAAAACAGTAAAAACGGTGAGAAACGCTGGCAGCAAAGGGCTTTACTGATCAGGAAACGGCTGGCAGTGAATGAGTTAAAGTAACAATGTAGTTTTATTTATTCATTTTTTTACTTTAAGCTAAGGCTTTAACGTTGAACTCAGTGGTTGTTGGGTTAGAAACTTGACCAGTTTCATATTTGACACCACTCTGCAACCCTCTGCTGACCACAAACCACACTTGATAGTTTTGTGGAGTGGGAAGGTGTGCTATAGGGGAGCTCTTTACCTGCTTTATGGCTGTTAGCCTTAATGCTAGCAGTTAGCATTTAGTTCACTGATCGTCAATAAAAAGCAGAAGAAGTAGAACGAGAAGAAGTTTGCTTTTTCTGTTGGCGTCATGGAGGAGCCTAGAAGTAAGATAGTAATGTCTTTGGAGGGGAAGCAAAGAGCTAAAACCAGAGTGAACATCGGCGCGGCTTACGCTAGTTTGAGTGAGCTACAGGAGGCTACTAAATCACGGTCTGATGCTGGTCTGGCTTTGTTGCTACTGGACTCATAAGTAATGATGGTTTTGTCCAGCAGCGTGGATCTTTTTACTTCATGTTTTATTTTAGTATTCGTTGGCTCATGCTAGCTAGCTTGTTTTCAGCGCTAGGTACTGCAGACTGCAGCAGGGTTATTTACAACAGTAAGCAGGAAACGGCTCAGTCTTACTTTAAAAATGCTCAGATCTTTAAAATTGTGCCTTATTTTATAAACGGGTATGTATTTATACATTTTTATTTATATATATATATATATATATTTTTTTTTTATTATTATTATTTTTTATTTGCAGAAGGACAGTTATTTTGAAAGTCATCTTTTTAGCCAAAAATGTGTTTAGATATAATTTATAAATTTGAAGGGCTTTTTATTTCTTCTCTCCTTTAAATAAGAAGAAAAGATCTTTTCTACAGCACCTCTCAAGATAAAAATCACGAGGCGCTTCATAAAAACAAAAAATGTAAGAAAATAAAAAAGAATTTAGAAAATGATTAAAAATATATTCAAAATGAGCAAAAAATAGACAATTGTGATAAAAAATGTTAAGAAAGAGAGAGAGAGTGAGCAGGAAAGAGGGAAACCAGTGGATCCTGAGGAAGGTGGAATAGGTGGGGAGAGCAGAATAAAGAGAGAGAGGTGAAGAAGGTCATACAAAAGCCAGCTTGAACAAGTGAGTCTTCAGCTGCTTTTTAAAGGAGACCACTGAGTCCACTGATCTCAGGCTCAGGGGGAGAGAGGTCCAGAGTCTGGGGGCCACAGCAGCAGATGATCTGTCACCTTTGACCTTTAGCCTGGTGCTGCACAACCTGTAGGCTTTGATCACTGGACCTCAGGGACCTGCTGGGGGTGTAGGGACTAAGAAGATCACCAATGTAAGATGGTGCTTGTCCATGTAAGGCCCTTTAGACCAGAACCAGGATCTTGAAATGAACCCTGAAGTTGACTGGCAGCCAGTGAAGCTGGAGGAGAAGCGGGGTGATGTGGGTGTGTTTGGAGGACACATCTCAGTCTATACCTCTGAACAAGAAGTGTAATTTTTGTCATGCATAACGTAAATAAGTAGCCTTGTGGTAGAGTGTCCACCCTGGTACTGGGAGATCGGGTTCAAATCCATGGTTGGGTCATACAAAATACTTTAAAAATGGGACCCAATACCTCCCTGCTTGACACTTCGCTTTAAGGGGTTGGATTTGAGGGTTTGGTTCCTGAGCGCTGCCACTGCTGCAGCTCAGCGCTCCCCTTTAATAAATAAAAAGCTCAATAAGCAGGAGCAGTCCACACATAAAGTAAGAAGATGAATACAACAGTTGATCTTGACTTAAAGGTATAGCAAAGGATCTTTCCGGGTGGATCATCTGAACCATTGGTTCACTTAACTGTCAATCATTCTGGTGAACCATTCACACAAGGCCGCCGTCGTACGTTGCTGGGTAGTTTTCACTTCCTGTGCATGCGAAAAGCAAAGGTTGGGCTCCCCACAGACGCCCGGTTTTCTGCTAAAGTTCGTCATACTATTTGGAGAAATTCATTTCAGATTACTGCTAGAAGAAGTTGGCTGAAGGCCAGCAGCCACTTGTAACAAGGATAACAGGGCTTTTTTTTTTTCAAAACGAGGAGTGGGCGGTTCTTTCCTGAAGTTCAGAAACATCCTCCGCTATACCTTTAATGACAAATTCGATTTATATGTGGTAAAAACGGCTCCTCCACTGTTATCGTGTAGTCTTCCGAACCAGCCAGCACGTCTAGCCAGGCATAAACGTTGTTTCTTCAAACTGAGGCTGCTCAGTATTATTGGTTTTAAATTTATTTTTCCAACTTTGCAACAAATCCTACTACTAACAAGACACTAACTTCTCGGTCATTTCTTTACTCTCTCGAGTTTCTGCTGAGGAGAAAACAAATCGGTTTATTCTTTAACATCATGCAAATTTCCCCCTTTTGTTTAAACTTGACGAGTTTCGGAGTTCAGGTTTGACTCAAATAAAAACCACTTCTTTAATTTATCTTGATTTTTTCTTTATTTTATTAAAAACTGCTAAAAAATCAATTATTTGAATATTACAAGCAAATGGCTTTTAATAAGTATATGTACAAACAGGAAATAAGAGAAAGGGAATCAAATATTCTCAGTGTAAGACAGAAAGGCTTGGAATGGTAAACTAAATACCATCAGAATGAAAACTTACATTTATTCTGTCTCTGGAGAAAAAAACATTTTTATGTACCGTTTCTCAACAACGTTGTTTCATAATGTGATTTGTATTTTTTTACACTGGTAAAAATAAAAATCAACAGCGATTCCAGCACCAGTCTGTGAGTTAAACTTCAACAACTTTCCTCATTTAAGATCAAAAAGCACCAGCTGCAGAGAGCCTTTCCTCCTCAGAGTATACAAAAAAAGATCTTTATGAAGATTTAAACCCACATCTCTCTGCGGGCATCACATGGTTATCGTGTGTTTTTGGTGTCTTTGCTTTAACATAAAAACAGTGAATGATGACATCTCAGCCCAGGTGTGCAGAAAGCTCAAACACTGAGGTTGAACACAGCCTGGGGGGAATTATTTAGAAAGCATCGGTTTAGAAAACCAGTACCACACTTCATTTTTATGCTCTTTGCTGTTTTTTGCAAGTTTTTTTAAGAGGGGATTTAATGCAGACATATTTTAAAAACACCCTCCTAAATTCCTCCTCAAACGTACGGCACTGTAGTCGAAGCCCGCGACACCGCGTGGGCAAGCGGAGTAGATTTACAAACGCTGTTCTGCTGAGACGGCCCACGTCCGACACGTTTCCTCCAACAGCAGCTCCTCAGTTTCTGGGCTGGGAGTTGAACTCCTGGCAGATGTTGTGGATGATCTTGGGAACAAACTTGTAGAGGTTGTCGAACTCGTCCACAAAGAAGGAGTGCTCCTTGTCAGGGTCTGTGGCGATGTACTCCAGCTCATCCTGGGCGGCCCAGGCGATGCCGATGGAGTAAGCAATCACACCTAGATGGGGGAGGGAGAGGGGAGGGGGGGGGGGGACGACAAAAGGATGTCACTCAAACCAATGTCTGACACTTTAATGTGGACTAAAGTCTTGTGGCAGGTCTGACGTCTGGTGGCTAACCCAGAAGAACCGTGGTACCCACTGTGGTGACTCGAGGCTGCCACATTTCAGGCTGCCACGGGTGACCTCTCACCTTGACGTTGG